TATATATATAATACTAAGATTAATATATTTTTGTCAATAAGTCAAATTGACATAATCTAAGACTATATCTTGTCTAGTCTTAATCAAGTCTAAAGGTGTCATTTTGACTTTATACCCTAAGGGCCAACCCACTTAGGCCACTATAATGACCCTAAGGCTTTTTAACCTACCTAATAAGGGAACTCAAAATCCTCAACTTGCACAATCCACTTATTAAGAGGGTTAAGTAAATGCTATATAGGGATAGTCCACACGTTATGATTATTTTAAAAATATTTTCTTAATTATCCAAAAAATATTTTTAACTTGGCATAAGCTAGAGTATCTTCAAATCAACCTACGCTAGAACATTTTCGCTTTGATCTCATCTATAGTATAATAGTACGATCTCATTCATATCTTTATCACAACCTTGACTAGATTAATTTCAACTCAACATCAACCATAATATCTCAAACAAAATTTGAGTTAAAGCATATTTTACTCGGTCTCAGTCAATGCATCTTTGGCCCAACCTAGGCCAACACACTTGCAACTCAGCCACGATCACAACATCTTCAACTCAAACATGACCAAGACATTTTTGACTTGGCTTTGACCAAGACAAATTTGGCTTGTCTTTGAACATAATATCTTCATCTTGGTGTTGATCAAAATATTTTTAACTTATTCTTAACTAAAATAATTTCAACTTGATTTCAACTAAAGTATTTTTCAACTCGATTTCATGAAAGTATTTTCAACCCAGTCTTAGCAAGAGTATCTTTAACTTAATCTTAACCTTGACCAGATTATCTTTAACTTGGTTTCAACTAGAATATTTTCTTTTTGATTTCAATCAAAGTAATTTCAACTAGACTTCAATCAAAATGTCTTCAATCTGTCCTTAAGTAAAGACTCTTTAACTTGACCTCAACAAAAGTATCTTTAACTAGGTTTTGATTAGAGTATTTTCAATTGAATTTTGACCAAAGTATTAACTCAATCTCAACCATAGCACCTTCAACTAGATTTATGCTAAATCATCTTCAACTCGATCTTGACCAAAATTTTATCAACTAAGTTTTGGCCAAAAATATGTTCGACTCAACCTCATCTAGAGTATGGTCATCTCAATATTAGCTAAAGTATCTTCCAATCAACTTCAAAAAAAGGTATTCTTGTCTGCGGCATCATCTAATTTTTTTTAACTCGATGTCAATTAAAGGATCTTCAACTCAATCATACTCAAAATATTAAACAAGTGGGTCAAATTAAAGTTTAAGGTCCATTGATCGACCCTAGCCCACATGGCCCTATAGCTTTTAGCCTTACGGATTTCTATTTAACACCCAACTAATTTCTCTCCGATCCCTAACTTGAATTGAGAGCACACAATACGGGACTATATGTATATGATGGGAGACAGAATGTTAACCCCAAATTGACAATATTCGGAATCATGTTACAAAATCCAACAAAATATTTTTTACATCCGTAAGACAAAAAAAAAAGTATAGTAATCTAATCCAGTTTGTTTTATAGTCCCGTATGCCAGCACAGTAGTTCAGTGAAAGGTGAATAAACAGTAGGCAAAGATGTAAAATATTTAAATCGGGCAATAATAGTTGGTAAATTTACTTCACATATTGATAACTATAATAATGATGGTAAATTTACTTCACATATTGGTCCAAAGTATGGTTGCATCCATAACCATACAGGACCATAAATGGTTATTAGATAAACAAATCATCCAAACTTTTTGATATATTTGGCTTAGGTGAGAGGAAGCTAACGAGAAAAATAGCTTTACTTCCAGCTGAAGCCTTTGCTTACAATCTCACAATAATTTTTCTATGCTTGAGGTCAATGTAGTCTTCGGCACAGCACCAATAACTGTATCTTTCTTCTCACCATTCTTGAAAAAAATCACAGTTGGGATACTTCGAATGCCATATCGAGTAGCAGTTGAAGGGCTCTCATCAGTATTGAGTTTGTAACACTTCAGCTTACCAGCATATTCCTTTGCCAGCTCGTCGATTATTGGGTGGATCATACGGCAGGGACCACACCATGGAGCCCAGAATTCAACCAATACAGGAGACTCAGATTCAAGCACGAGTGGTTGCCAATTTGCATCAGTAATAGGAGCCACTGCAATATCCGATAATACAAAAATGTTTCACTTCAGTAAGTATTTCTCTCACACATGCAACAATTCTCTGGAAACTGAACCGACAGATAATTAGGATCCACATGCTTAACTTAGAGTACAATGTTTAGTGATGCCAAACTGTTAACACATGCACATACCAGACAAATGAAGCACAGACAAGCAGAATGAAAAATACTACTAAAAATTAAAAAACATAAGTTCAGGTTGTATAACGAGGAAAAGAAAAAAAAAAAAAAGTGTAATATCTTCTTTTTTCTTCTGATGGGCGTCAGATTTTAACACTTCGCCAAAAACTAAATCTTCTAAGTAAGTTTATTGAAACAAAGCAAAGCAAAAACACAAAAAGGTAGCAGTCAAAGGTCTGTTAAATGTCACTGCAATTGCATCATCCCAACAAAAAGAACCAGGGTAAGAGTGTTGGTGTTCTATCAGTCCATCAACCCTGAATGCTTTAAAAATTATTAGATTAATTTAGATTAATACAAGCTTCAAGCTATCATAATTCGTCACAACTATCACAGTAGAGAGCTTAAATCCCATACCTAATAGGAATCATCCACATATCTTTTGTCTGGAGAAGGCTAAATCACTTTGCTGACTAAATTTTTTTCCCTTAATATTGTCTCGATGACAGTGAAACCTAACACCATAATCATCTATAACAAGTAGAAGATCAAAGTCAGAAAGGAACCTAATAGCAAAAATCTCCTCTCTGATAAAACAAGAGGATAAAAAAAAAATCCACTGGAGATTGGAATTAGACCATACTTCTGATATTCAGTTTTTCCTCTATTTTTAAGAACTCTCTCTAATATTCTAAAACAGCTTTGTTTCTCACTTCCAATAAGGTCAGGGTCACCCTTATAAATTATTATAAAGAAGTTCCATTTCATCAATTTGACAATTGTGGCACAAATTTGATACATCCATGCAGCTGCAGTGCAGTCTACATAAACTTCTTCTCAATTCCTCTGTCTCCCTTCATAAACCAATTTACTATAAAAACTAATTAAAATGACTTTATCATATATTTCAATAATGCGAAAAAAGTAACCATACAGAGCTTGCAGGGTAGAAATACTAATCATCTCCCTTTTGCTCAAGATACATTAACAGGGTGCAGAGGAAAGAAAACCAAAACGACACAAGAAATAGAAAGCTGGGATTGATCTGGAGTTTGCACCCAGAAAGACTATCCCCATGACAGATATTATGAAAAGTTAACTCATAAGATTTTAGAAGTAGGGAAATAAAACTAAATGATGTTTTACAATATGTATTTTGGAACCTACACCAAAACTTTTGGACCAAAAAACCAATCAACCTTTTTTCTTTAATAAACTTATTTGAAGGATATTATAGTAATCTATTAATTATTTATTCTTAAATAAAAAAAGCTCATTTATCTCAACTAGCCCACTCATTTTCTCCCTTCCTCCATTCATTTCTCTCTCTTCTCTCATTTTCCAGAGTGACTATTCTTCTTCCATTGGACAATTAATCTACCACCATCGTCCACCTCCACCCACCATGAAAATCTCAAATTTGTAAATTTTCTCAACCAGAACCACTTCTTCTGCAATCATTGCGCTCACGTCACCATTCCTCTCTTTAAACTAAATTTGATAGAAAATTTTGGGGTAATCCAAATTCTGAACAATAATCCAACAATAATTACAATCATTACCATCATAATCACTAAAAATAAGAAGATAGGAGTATGAGAGAATGGTTTAACGAATAAGGAAACTTCATTTTGTATTGCTCGTCGATCATCAACATGAAACTTGTGTTGACTTGAATGGTGTATGTTAGTTTCTTTCATTTTTTTTCCATGAAAATTGTTTCTTTTAGATGGTGATGTAGTGTTTAGTCACTCTTAAAATCACATATTAGAAACACGCTGAGTGTTTGAAAAATAAGAAAAACGGATGTTTATTGCCTAAGGAAAGAAAATCTAGAAATTTGGATGAGATGAACCACATGGTGCTTTAGTGTGAGTGATGGAGAGGAGAGAGAATAAGTTGGTAGGAGAGAGAAATGGGTCAGTGATGGAGAGGAGAGAGAATGAGTGTGTAGGAGACAGAAATGAATATTTTTTTTAAAAGAAATAATTAATAAATTACTATAGTATCCCTCAGTTAAGTTTATTAAAATAAAAGGGTTGATGGGTTTTTTGGTCCAAAAGTTTTGGTGTATGTTGCTAATATACTCCACTAAAATTAAGGTGAGAATATGTTAACAATCCCTTATTATATATATATATATATATATATATACACACAATTTAAAGGACAAAAATATTACATACGGTGTACAGGTATTAATTTAAGTCAAGAAATCTTATAATTTAACACTAATGTATTCATTAATTTTACCCCAAAACAAAGAGGTCTAAAATTATATATGACATTGAACCAAGCAGGACCAACTTGAAATATGTCCCAAACCCAACCCAAAAACACATGATCTAATTTTCAAGACCCAAAACCTAGACTGATTAGCTTTGGACTAGGTCTTGACCACTACTATCAATAAGCATAAATGAATCTAACTTTAACCAAACATACCCTAAAGGTAGTAAATTCAGCTATACAGACTAGATTAGTAGAGAGATGGGTTGTAAGCATATTTCCAATTCATACAGATATTTAACCTTGTACTTTGCTTCCACTTTAGAGGTTATGTATCGATGCGAGAAGAAAATGAAACAGACTACCAGGGTGACTTTAAATGATGATTGTTTGGTAAAATTACGACTACAAACATGATCACTAACACTTTAAAATTAGTCCTGTTGCAAATAGAGGTATAATTAGGTTATAAAACACACACACACATATATATATATAGACACATACACGAGATATTCTTCAAACAATTTCAGCTATCCCATTCTTTTCTCCACAAAACAGATAACTATAGGACAAATGTCCCAAGTCATGCACAGTTGCAAGAAACAACCCAAGCACTAGAAGTCTAGATCTATAACACATTAAGAAGGGTTTGAAAAGTTTATCCAAAAACTAAAATTAGCTCATCCATAAGCTAATTTGAAGAAGCTTTCTCATCTTTGTCTCTCCGAAAGCTGATTCTCGACTTATGTATAAGCTAAAATTAGCTTTGGAGAAACTTATTTCATTTTGGTTCTTATTTTCTTTTCTTGCATTGCATGTGTCAAATAAAAGTAAGAATTCAAAAAAGACACCAAATAACACAATTTTTATAAAACTGTTTTCTTAGCTTCACTGATCAAAGTGCTCAAAGGCTCAAACAATTGGCATCATGATAATAATGCAATCATTCTAACATCTCTACGTCCACAGAACATTAACAAAACCACAATAAAAACATCACAAAACTCACTTCGAACCTCCACAACAAACTAACCCTAAAAGCAACAAAGTCCAACGACTATTCGCAAAGAAATAGAAACCTAACCTTCAACGGCGGTGTCTCGTGCCTCGCACGCGATGCGTCCACCGCGAGGAGCGGTTCTCGAGCCGGGGCGTGTCGGAAAACCGGTCTCGGCGGAGGGTCGAAGCCTGAGGCCGGAGAAGCGCGGCAACGCGGATGAGTTACGGCGGCCGGTGACGGCGATGGGAGGAGAGAAGGTGGCGGAAGGGAGTGCGGAGGAGCGAATGAGGGTTAGGGATTGGAGTTGCACGGTGGCCATTGATGCAGAGGATCGCAGCTCCAGTGGAAGGAGAATGGGGAAAGTGAGAGTGTTGCGTTGAATTAAGAATTGGGGAATATTCTTTTTAATTTTTTTTTTTGATATTTTGTTGTTTTATTTTGGAAAGATATTTGTGTTATTATTGTGTGGACTATGGAGAATGTGTGGATGAGGTGATCCTACACTAGACACTAAACACTGCCATTTGGTTGCAGCTAGTTTTATTCCAATAAACTAACTATTTTTTTTTCTCTCAATTATATCAAAAATAAAAAAATCATTTCAGTAATTTTTTTTAAGTATTTAACATTCTTTTGTAAAAAAAAAAGTATTTAACATTCTTTTACTTTAGAATATTTCAAAAAAATTTAAAGACTAATTTAAAATATTTGTTAATTTAAGAGACTATTTAATTTTCTAAATTGTTATATTTTGAAATAAATTCAGAGACTAATTTAAACATATTTTTTAATATATAAGAGACTATTTAGTTTTCTAAAAAAACTATTTAATAATTATAATAATTTTAAAATTAATTAAGTAATTTTTCTTAAAGTTGATCACTTTTATTCTTAAAAAAAAAAGTCAATTTTTAATTATTATTCTACTTATATTATGATTATATGCTTATAAAAATCACCTTGCACTCAAAATCATATTAAGTTTTGAAAGTCATCTTCAGAATGTTCTCATCTTTCATCTTTAGATAACTAGACATTAAATCAATTTTAGAATATATTGACACTCTTCTAAGTTGATCTATAAAGCTATTTATTTGAAGTTGTGAATATTTGTTTTTGATAGTTAACTTATTCACTTAGTAATAACACGTAACTTTGAACCATCTTACTTCTTTACCAACGATATCAATGTTATTCACAAGGATACATTATGTTTAATCATTTGTTTCTCCATTAGATCGTTAAGTTACTTATTTAGTTTTGTCAACTCAATTGGAGTCATCTTATAAAAAGTTATTAACATTGGTCTTGCACCTAGAACCAAGTTAATAAAGAACTCAACATCTTTCCTAGGAGGTAACCTAAAACTTCATTTGGAAACATATCAAGGAAGCATGTGGCCACCTCAATTAATTATAAATTACTTTTAACTTCTAGAGAAGAGAAAACAATAAAGCATCAAGCTTTCTCCTTCAAAAGATCATTCACCTGCTTAACTAAGATAATTATATCATTCTCATTTAGAAACACCAACTCCTTCTTAGCAAAATCTATCAAGATATGATTGACAAACAACCGATACATCTCTAAGATCACATCCAACCCAGACAATGACAGACATATCAGGTTAACCTTGTAGTTGCACATATACACAATCATAAGACAACCCAAACATATTGAAGAAGTCCCACAAGAGCAAAGGTATGAGTAGACACCAACTTTTTTTTACAAAAGCAAGGAACTCACGGGCAATTTCAACTTTTTTACACAATCAATAGATATAAAATGCGTGACACCTAAGTCAAAGAGTACATATTAGCAATTACCATCAACATTGCACTTCCTTTTCAACAAATTGTCATACTTGGAAGCTTTTGCTGTCGTCATAGTAAACACATAACCCAACATTATAAGCTACTCAACTCTTGGTGCACCTTTGGCTAGACAATCTTTAGCCATGTGTTCATACTTATTGTAGTGATAACAATTGAACTCATTAGTTGTACAATCTTTGATAAAGTGAGCTATATCACATTTGTAGCACTTCACACTTGGTGCCCCACCTTTGGGTGCCACTAAGGTCTCCTAGCAATTGAGCCCACATGGAACTATTGATGTCTTTCATAAGGTTTCATTTAATTGCCACCAATTTTAGGCCTAGATGGTTTCTCCTATGCCTTCACCACTTTGATGCCACCTTCAAGTCTCTCAATTATCTTCACCTTCCTCACCAATGCAAGAAACTCATTAATGGTCACATGGACCATCATCATCTTAACACATCTCAACCCTTTACTAAATTTTTTGCACCTCCAAGCCTAAGAAGTAACTTGGGAGTAATAAAAAACCAAGTGTTCAAACTTCATAGCATACTCTTGAACCATCATGTTCTCTTTACGTAATCTCAAGACTTTAGCATCCTTAGCTTAACTAGCATTTTTAGGAAAGTATTTCTCAAGGAAAAGCCTTTTGAAGCTTTCATAACTCAATGCCTCACCTTAGCCACCATCATCTGCTAAGAACCCCACACCAATACCCAACCTCAACGATCAACATATAAACAACATAAGTCACTTTCTTGTTTTCAAGGCAAGACATAGCCTTAAGTATATTCTTCATCTTAGGATCCATTGGTCAAGTGCCTTTGAATCACCATTACCTTTGAACTAGGGAAGGTAACCCTTATTGAAATCAATCAACACTAGGTGCTATGGATGAACAATTGATTTGGCTACTTTAAACGTCACCTTGCTAGCTTCCATTTGATTCAAGACAGCCTGTTGCTATTAGTCATTATGGCTTATTGTTGGATATTGGATGATTGTTGCTAAGCCATTACAACATTATGCTAATTTGAAATAAACATCATCATCTCAATAGCCCCTAATTAGTCTATGATAGAGGATGATATTTAGGAGGTCTACCCATCATCATATACTAAGATAAATAACACTCATAAGGTAACATTCATAACATGCACAAGATATACACCTTAATAACTTACCACAAAAACACAATGTAAACAGCCTAAAACAAGTAGTGCCTTAAAGACTCAACCAACTCTGATACTATAAAGTGGAATGACCCGAAAAGTAACTACATAAGTGGATTCTTTGATCAAATCATCAAAGCACATCATCTTGTTGGAGTTAGCTTTATTGGACAATCATTTATTTGTATCATGGCTTTAGAATTATTGGTTCGTTCAAAAATGTATTAGGTGTAATTGATTGTGAGATTCTTTGAACAAAAAAAGTTATTCTTAAAGTATTTGAAGTCAAGTATTATTGTTAATTAGGATGATAATAATACATTAAGATTATTGTATGAATTGATTGATAACCACATCTTGTAAGTCATAAATCTAATATCAAGTTAGGAATACCAGTATAGATATTGAAGGTAAATATTTATATTGGATAGACCCACTTTGAGCTGTATAATCCACTACACAAGTGTCATAAGTGTTTCTTTTGACGACCATAGTAAAGTAGTCATTTGAGTTAAAATCACTACAATTCATGCATGTAAAAGTTGTAAGATTTGGTGCTATCAAATGTTATTCGTAACAAGATGGTTATGAAGGTAATTAATTGGGCTTGCAATGAATCATATGAGAGATGTGAATGATGTAGAAAGGATCCATGTGTCTTGCATACTAGGAGATGTGTCTTAGGCCTCCTAATAAAGTGAGATGTGCAACATGTGTGATCATACGGGAATGGACTAATATTGGATGCTTTTCTATGTCTTTTAGAAAAATAATAGACACAATGATATTTATATTCATTCTTCAAGCTCTAAAAAAAGAAAATTATATAATTAAAAAATATACTAAATGTTCTTAAAATATTGTAATATTATTATATTTAATTTTATTGTTATTTGGCTAAAATCCTATTTTGGTCCCTTATAATAATTTTTTGTTTCAATTTAGTCCCACTTTTATTTTTTGTCTCAATTTGGTCCCTCATAAGTTAATTGGTTTCAATTTGGTACTTCCGTCCAAATTATTTAAACAGAGTTAACTATTGGCCACGTGGATGCCACGTAGATGCATACGTGGATGCCACGTGGACGCCAAATTCTGTGAAAATACCTGGAACCAGAACTGGCCGTTCTGGATGCACTCTAGGTGTGTTAATTTTGCATCTGAAACGGGTCGTTCTAGGTGCAAAATTAACACAGCACTAGTACATCATTCAGAACGGTCCGTTCCAAGACTGAGAATAGAATATTCTTTATTAATTTTATTAAAAAATATAATAATTTTGAAAAATATTTTTTTATGGTAAAAATTTTAAAATTATTTATTTTTATAAAACACAATTGTCTTATAAATAGAGTAATAACTTTTTCTTTTTCTCTTTCTGTCTGAAGAAATATTTAGGTGTCACTTTATAATTTTTTGCAACTTATTTAAAATTAGAGGAATAAAATGATAAAAATTAATAGGATAAACATAATAAAATTATTAATTTATTTTCTTTTAGTGTCTTCTAAATTTTTACATTCATTTAAAACAAAATATTTATTATATTAGATATAACAACATAATTAAAATATAATTAATAATATATATTTTATAAAATTATTAATATTTTATATATAAAAAAAGAATGAAAAAATTTTATGATTAACTTAGATCTGTCCCTGCATATGGTTGTGGTGAAATGTTAGTCCTGTGTATCCTCTTTCTTTACTTCAGGTTCTACCTCTTCAAGAACAGGTTGTTGTTGTTGGGGTACATCGTTAATGACTTCAAGGAAAAATACTATGTCATTTCATCCTTTACTGTATAGTGTCAATTTGGTAATAAGTGGTTCACTCCAGTTTGAAATGAAATAAAATCTGCTACCATTGTCTTTAGTGATACATTACATTGTCCTTAATAATACACTGTATAGCCTAACTGTTTAGCAATTGAAGTTATCAATTTCCATCGACAATATCACCAAATTCAGTGTTTGAAATGCTTTGTACCTTGGATCTTTTTCCTTCCATGATTCACAACCGTGAACTATAATCATTGATCGTTTATGCTTAGCAGTCTGGAACCAGAACGGCCCGTTCTGGTTGCACTTTTAGTATGTAAATTTTGCACCTGGAACGGGCCGTTCCGGATGCAAAATTTACACACTAAAAGTGCAACCAGAATGGACCGTTCTGGTTCCAGGTACTTTCAAAAAAATTGGCATCCACGTGGTATCCACCTATGCATCTACGTGGCCACACAGTTAACTCCGTTTAAATAATTTGGACGAAAGTCCCAAATTGAAACCAATTAATTTATTAGGGACCAAATTGAGACCAAAAATAAAAGTGGGACTAAATTAAAACAAACAATTATTATAAGGGACGAAAATAGGTTTTTAGCCTTGTTATTTTTAAAAAAAATAGTATGATAGCATCCTTAATGTCTATTAAATTAAAAATATATATCTCTTTAACCTTTGGAAGTATTAATGAAAAATGTGAATGTTATATATCTTTATCTTTATCTTCTTTTTTTTTTATATATAATTTCTTGTAGCCCTCTAGTGTTAAAAATTTAGTAGTGATAAAGTAGATATTTTCTTCCTTTCATTAACATGGATTCCTCTAGGTCCAATAAGAAAAAAATTTAAATGGTTAAAAGATTATATTGGATGAGTTTAGGATATTAGAATATTATTGTATTTAATTTTAATGTTATTTTATTTTTCTAAAATAGAATGATGACACTTGTAGGGTCATCTTTACTAGCTACTAAGTTATAAAAATGTATCTCTTTAGCCTTTGGAGGTATCAATGGAAAATATGAATGATATCTTTATAATCTTTATAACTTTGTGTAACTCTCTAATGTTATAAATATAAGAGCTAAAGTGTAGTTGGTCTCCTATTTTAAAATGGAAACATTTAGTTCCCTAATTTTAAAAACACAAAATTTTGACTCCCTCGTCAAATTAACACACATTAATATGTTTACATTTATTCACACTTAAGTAATATAATATTTAGTAATATGACATTTGAAGATTAAAAAACTTTTTGAAAAAATAAGATTTATTAATAAAATAAAAAATTAACTACTCATTAAAATAAATATAAATAAATATTTTTTGTATGTTATTTTTTTTTATAAGTCATATCATTAAATATTATCATTTAAGTGATGACACGTTATGTTTACTATTAAAATTTAACTATTATCGAGTATCAAATTAATAATAGAATCAAAATTTTATATTTTTAAAAATAAGTAAAGAAATTTTTCTATTTTAAAATAAGATAACTAAAACTAAAAAAAAAAAAGTATAATTAGTTAAATTAAAGAGTAGTAATAGATGAACGATCTAATGTAGTTCCAAGGAAATTTCTTGTATTTGAATAAACCAATAACATTAGAGATTTTGAGAAAAAGAATTCACTCTGCGATTGGAGCAGGGAGACGTATCGAAGGAAAGAAAAAAAAGTTGCAGACAAAGCAAGGCAACTCAGTCGAATTGTATGGTCACTCACCTAACCCTTCTTTCCTCCTGTCCTCTGTCAGTATTTCAAACCTAAACTCCAAAATTCTCACAGTCAAAATCTCTTTATTTTCTATCCCATAATGTCATTTTTTTTCTTCTCTTCTTATTCAGTTTTAAATAAGCTTATTTTTTTATGTATTTTTTTTAGTGTAAAATTTTTTACCCAACTAATCAATAAAAATAATAAAGTTTGAGTAATATTTACAAAATTATATTTAAATTTTAGTATTATTATTATAATTTTGATAGATAAAAAAAATTATATTTAGTATAATTTTTTAAGACAACTGGTTTATTTAGTTACACATCAGAAAGGATAGTGAGGGATGGAACCAATGTAAATTGTATTAATTTTTACATCAATTAGACGTGAAAATTTGAGAATACATGAGTTAGGGATCTACAACAAATAAATGATGATCAAAATTATATATATATATATATATATATAACCATTTATGATTTGTTAACTATATAAAAATCTTATATATTGTCAATTATTAAAAAAAAAATATTTTTATAACAAAAATTAATTTATTAAACACCATCTCTCATTTATCTTTATCTAATTTTTCTTATTGCATTATATTACACGTAATACTTATTCTCTTTTCTCATTCTCTTACTAAGTTTCTAGTAGCCTATTAAGTGTTTAAAATATATTTTTCCAATTAATAATTCATATAAGAAAAATATTATTCAAAATAAGATGCAGGAGACACGGGTGAATTTGAATGTCTTGAAATTAATGTGTTTTTCATTTTCTTGTGGTACTAAAAAATGCATGAAATTCTCATTGTCATGTTTGTCCTACACAGTCAGCTAGTCAAAGTTGAAAGTTCAAACAAACAAAATTCCTTAGTAACATAAATAAATCAAACACAACCCACTTGTTCTCTACCTTGTCTTTGACTTGCCCTACCCACTCACCCACTCCAAATGCAAAAACACCCTTCTTCTCTAATGCTTTCCATCACCATGGAAGAAGAACAAGAACCAAACCTGATCAAGCATGGCTCCAAAGAGAACCACAACAAGACCATGCACATGCACACACCAAATCCAAATCCATCATCTCAAACAATCATGAGATTGGCCTCACTTGCCATCAGCTTCAACGTGCGGTTGAAATCATCCGACATGCCTGTCCACATGCAAGAACATGCTTTGCACCACACAAGATTGCTCTTCCCCCTTCACCCTCCTTCTCCAAAGCCAACAAACACTCACATAGCTAGAGCTCTCAAGAAGGTATAGTGAAAGTTTGAAAAAAGCTTATGTTACATTTTCAACCTTCTTAATGGTAACTTTCTACACCCAATAACATAACATTCATAAAAGACCAGTCTAAAGGTAGTTGAAAAAAAAAAATCAATCTAAAGGTGACAAATCAGAATTAGATTCTAGTTGTGTGAAACCTATAAATATTTAATATCAATAATATAATTATAAAAAAAATGCTGAACTTATTGTTTTGTTTTTGGTTTTAATCACTCTCAAGTTCTTATTATGGATCAATTTTCAGGAATTTGATACGAAATATGGATTGGCTTGGCACTGTGTGATAGGGAAGAGTTTCGGATCGTTTGTGAGTCATACTAGTGGTGGGTTCATCTACTTCTCAATTGACTCACTTTCAGTTCTTCTCTTCAAAACTGAGGTTCACTTAGTCGAGCAACCACCTTTTTAATTTTACTTTTGGTTGTTTAATTTAATTCATGTTCGTTACACATATTTAATGTAGTACTCTTAATTCTAATGACAATTAAGGTTGTGGCCTTGGTTATTTTTTCATGTGTGAACTCAATTGTTAATTCTTTGACAAGGTTACTAAGTTTCTTTGTAAAGTGTTGCATTCACAAATAACAAGGTTTTAAATTGGCGGTGAGAAACCAAAAAATAACATGTCATATTGTGAAACATCAGACACAGTGAAACCTTCACCTGCATGTGCATGTAAAGAACTTGTGTTCAAGTTGGATTGTGTAATTGCGAGCAAAGCGAAAATTTAGTTGATGGGTGATGAAGGTTGTGATTATAAAGATTGGTTATACTAGTCTTGGTTTCATGAAAATTGAATCATGCGAATGAACAGTGTTTTTGTGATGCTGTCTATTGACAGTAGTAAAAAAACACCAACTCCGAGAAAAAACCTTTTGGTTGTCGGAAAAATTTAGGTTCACTTGTTGAATTTGCAATTTACCTTGGTTAACTGAAATCTTGTTCAACTTCAGCCATATTTGATTTCATTCATTTCACTTTTACCGCCTCTACTTTTCCTTTATTCACCCCTTGTTATGAATTCAGAAGACTCTGTTTGGTTCTGGGGTCCAGTATTTCTGACTTTTTGTTTGCCTTTTATTCTGCTTGTTTCCCGATAAAGGAACTCTTGTATTACACTACGCATGTTAGAGAAAGTAGTTGAATTTCATTTCTCATATCTTTTAAAATTTTAAAACTATATAATCGCGCCTTTGATAATGAGAAAAATAACAAGAGTATGTGTTATTTATTAGCACTTCTCTAGAAGATAATACACATGGTTCACAATTAATTTTAAAATAACTTCAAAATTACGAACCAGATGTTACATATTCATTTAATATTAAGTCAAGATTGTTCATCGGCAATTGAATGATTCCCAACTTTTTTTAATTCGACTTATAGTTCGCAGTATGCGTTCACATTTCACTTTCACATTATGACAAAACAATATAAACACTTTTTCCCCAAGAAACTTGCATTGATTATGCCCAGATAGCGAATTACATATAGAATTGTAATTCTCCTTCAATCTAAAAGAAAATGACGCATACGTATCCGACAAAGGCCTAATTTTTTAAAATCATGCAAAATTAATTTTAAACTATAAAAAGCATGTAGTATGAACAAAAGAGGTACTGCTTATGAATGTTCTACCATTAAGTATCTGTTTGAACTGCTGTTTACAAGACACCAAACGCCCATTCACACATTTCAAAGTTCAAATCAGATGCATTCAAAAGATCAAAATGTGAATTACGTCCAACCAAACATTTTTTAAATACACCATTAGTAGAATAGGGAAAACAGGAAACTAACAAATTTACCAAGTTATTGCATTGATATTGGTACAAAACAATATAGCTTACCATTGTTTAGTCATTTTCCTTTCATAATCTCATCTATTTCTCTTTTTACAATGGTGCCCGGTCTCTAGAGTTGGTAGCTTCACTTCTCTAACAAAATTGGACAGATTACAAATAAATTTAACAAATGTTGCATGTGATTCCGGATCTCCAATACATTAAAGGCACGCCCCAATGGGCAAGCATAAAGTTGGCACCTTGGGTGGTGTGACATTGGACTCAAATTTGCTTTTACGCTTATACTGCCTCGTTCCTTCACTTTCAAATCACTGATCAAATAACAATCACCAAGCATTTTGTGAGAAACCTCCTAGTATCTGGCCTCTGTCCTAATTACCGCTGTCAAATAGGTGTGTTTTTCTCTTTTTCTTCTTTTTTATACTGTTTTCTTTTCTATTATCATTCTCCTCATTCCCCGCCATTCCAAGATCCCCATTTTCCTTTAGCTTCTTACTAGATTTCTTTGAAGATTTTCTCTTCTTTGTTGAAGAACGTGTGCTTGGCTCTGCACTAGTGAATTCCCCCCGTGGTAGTGGCTCTTCTTCATAATCTAACTGCCAATTACATAACATATCCTGCTCCCCATACTGTTGTTCTAATGCCTCACCAGCACCAGGAAGCAAGCTATCAAAACTCACATCCCCGTTTAATCCCCCTTTACGCTCCAGCAAGACAGGATCTGGTCTAATAATAGTGCCCAGGATGCTCCTGTTCGGTCCCAAGTTCATGATGGTCTTGGGATCTGTCAAATTTTTGAAAGCCATTGAAAAAGCTGACCTAATCTGGGATAAACAATAAATTTTTTTTTAGTGAGTTACAGAGATGAACACCAAAAGTAACTACACGTGAAAATATTATCATTAGACTTAATTTCACTTTTGATTCTTTAATTATAGCCTATTTGTAAGTTTGGTCTCCCATAATCTTTTGCTTAAATTATCCCCCAATTATTTAAACATTTGTAAGTGTTTGTCTAGCTTTTTGACAAAATAATTGCTTGATTTCAGAAGTTCTCCATGGACAAAGCAAAAAAAAAAAAGTCTATTATATATAGGTTGAACCAAATACGAGACTTAGTTACTACCATCCAATGTTAACAGAAAAAATAACTAATGCAGCACACAATTTTCACACGTGATATCACATGTTGCTAAGTTAGTCATGTAAAAACACTTGTTACTGTGACATGAAAGATTAACACAGTCACAGAATAAAAAATCTAGTATTTAACGTATACTTACATATTTAGAACTCAAATTCAATACAGCTCTAATAATTTACATATACTCTTTTGAATGTAATTAAAATATGTTGATAATATAAATATTTTATATTGTCATCATAGATAATAATGTATGCATGGTAAAATAATTAATTAATAATGTAAAACTATTTATTATACGATTCAAAATAACCTTAAACTAATTTAACGTATTTTTGCCAGGTATAGCAACATGTATATATTCATTAATAAAAGAAATCTATAAAATTCAAACACTTAATAAATAGAAAGTTTTTTTTTTTTGGTGTAATAAATAGAATATTTGTATATTCGAAAATTATTAGTTATAAACTCCTGATCACAGATTAAAAAGAAAGGTGATACAGTGAAACTCATGCTGTTACAGGGTCAGCCATTAAAGTAGAATATTTACAATATATTCGAAGGAAAAATATTAAAGGGCTTGCCAATTACTTATAATCACACCAAAAAATGTCTCTAAACTGTGTCAACTCTTTGATTTGCTACAAAAACTAAGATAAGATCTGTCTAATGCCTGTCTTTGAGCATGGTAGACAATCAAAAGCAAAACTTTGACTCTATTCTTGCTTGAGGAATTTACTTTGAACAACCATTTTTCTCTTACTCGTGCTTATGTATGTGAGTGTGACTTCTACCATAGCCCAATTATTACTATGCATATATAGAATTAGACCACCAATAACCCTTTACTAGAAATTAAAAAAGGTGAGAGAATACAATTGGAAATGAACATGATTAATTGGAAAGTAATGCAAGACTTGATTTGTTAATTATTAAAGTTTGGTTCATCTTATTTGAACTTTTGAATTGTACCCAATTGTTTTTGAACTTAAATTGAATTGATTCATGTAAGCCCTATTCAAATGTGAATTCATTTATTTTCTATCAAATTAAATCATTCTAAATTGACATGGTCAAAGAGTAACCAATAAATAATAATTTTGTAAATGTAAAAATACTCATTTAAATGATATATTTCTTGGTTTTAATATGATAGGGGTATCATATTGTAGTCTTTTATTTTTATATATATCATCTCTTAGGCTCTATCCGAGTATTTCTTTTTATTTAAGTTTTTTATAATGTAAGAATTAAGATTCAAACTCTAATCATTTAGTTTAACGATGATAATTTTCTACTATTTACATCAATTTAAGTTAGCATCTTTTGTTACTAAAAGTTATTACCACTGATATACAGAGAAAATAAATAAAAACTAGTAACTTATGTATAAATTAATTCATAAAAATACAAAACTCTGAAAGATAGTAAACTTAACTCATCGCCGATCAAAATACATGTTTAGTATTACAGGATTACACTTAGTTGATCTCGAACGTAACAACACTTGAATGTTTGATAATTTAGTTTTTACAAAAAGACGAATTTTCTCTTAAAAAAATAGAGTTAAACTTGTGATTAAGTTAGTTAATAGGAATTGTAGGTGGTGTGTTTGAAAGAAACAATGGGGTGATGTATGTGTGTATGTATCTATGGTTGATCCTGAATCCCATCCCATCACGTATGCAAATGCAACAGTCTCCGCAGTTAGGCTCTGAAGTCAATGCCACAAATATTTTTAACAGCATAATAAAAGATTATAAGGGACCAAAATAGGGTTTTAACCTAAAAAGAAATAAACAAACAGAATTCAAAGGATCATATATTTTGATTCATTTTAATGCTGTCACAATGGGACTGTTTAGATTACCAACTAGATGCCACACCTGAAAATCGTGCAACACGTCAGCGATTTCCATTTGTAATTAGATGATATTCTAACAGGGATATTATTTTTGCTTAATTAGAAATTTTAGCAAAATTGGAGTAAAAAACTTATTAGGGGATCAAAATTAACAAAGACCATAGTAGAGGGTTCAAAAAAAACAAAAATTAAGCCCCGTCATTAAAAAGAAAAAGGCTGAAAGTAGGAAGGGGGCTGAATAATAATAATCTGCCCCTCTTCTAACAAACGGGGTAAGCAACTAAGCTGGATTAACAAAAATTAGAAACAAACCAGTCAAGAAATTCTTATGCAGTCATTTAAGATTTCTAAATAATTGTGCAACAAATAATCAAACTAGTTTTCTGGCAAAGGCAAATATGCTTACTTAGATGGAAGCTAGAATATATGATAAGTATTAACAAATAGTGGGCCCTACATAAGGATTATAATTATGCCTTCCACAAAATTGCAGCTTTCATAATATGACATGCTTGAGCATAATTTCCAACAGATGACAAATTGACCATTGTATGAAGGTGTTTCAGATTCCACAAAGGACAAACATGTATGAAACCAGAAAACATATTGAAAGTCAAATAGAAAAACAGGAAGCTCGATGCATAGGGTTACAATAAAAAGATTCTTGCATTGGTTCCTCAACACTCAAGACTTGAGAGAACATTTTTCTAAAACTATTATAAATATCATTTACTAAGAAAGAATAAACAAACCTGGAAATAATTATAAGAGTTCTTCCCAATGTCATTCTCTGGTGCCTGATTCAGCCAGGGAAAAAAAACTTTAGTCAATCAACTATACCTAAAAAAATTATTTGTCCAATGTGCACAACATAGCGTCAAACAGCCAATCAACTTGATATTGTATAAATTTGTATATCAGAAAAATAAATTGCAAAGCATTTACTACAGAGAACAGAGAAGACAGAGATTTCTAAGACAATATTTAACTCCTGCTTAGATAATCCGTAGTCTACTACCCAATTATAAATAGTTTTTTCTTAGCATTTTGGATGGTAAGTATCTCCTACTTTCCACTTTTAATATATTCCACTCACAAATGTTCAGCAATTGCTCCAAAAAAGCAAGGATTAACAATGGAAATAGTCACTCAAACTATTCATTGTTTTGAAAAATTAGAAAGACCACGTAAAGAGAAACAGACTGTAAAATAATGCAACTGAGAGAGTATGACTAAAGGAGGATTATCAAATATCCTCCAGCATAAAGACAACGAAAAGTTACCTATATATCTAAAGAATGCAACAATCAAACCCATTTTATCCCCACCCATTAAAAAAACTATGACATCCAGAAAATCAAATAATCTCAACTGATAAATGCAAAACATAAGCACGAGAAAAATCATAAAAAATCCATAATACACAGTCCACTTTCTTGCTTTATTTAATTGACCAAAAAGAAAATATTCATTTTACAAAGGTAAAGGTGGTTCTTCAAATAAAACCTGTGGATCCTCGATGGAAATAAGACATGGTCGTCCTTTGTTTAAAAACCTGAGATGACAATGGAAAAAATTTAATAACCTACAAGATCAATTATACAGCTTAAGTAAAAATAACATCACTTTACAAATATATCCTATTCCTTTATTACCCTTTGCTACTCTTCACAAAAAAGGCGCCTGCCCCATTACAAGACACACCAACATCTGAGGTGTTTAATTTCCGTCCATAGAAATCAAAAAATTGCACCTAGTTTCCAAAAAGGAGATGAAAAATAACACTATCAGAATGGTAAATTGATATATTTCTTACTTTGCAGTTTAAACCCCAGAAAGGAATCATTTATCCAAACAAAGGTTTGCATCATAGAATTATTCCACATGTTTCTCTTTTTTAAAATTATTAGGTATTGCATAAATAACTCGCCAATCATGGAAGAGAGCTCATATAACTGCCCGGAACCAATGGAAACAGACACAAGACTAGTTCAAATTCAGAAGATACGCACCAAAAGGAATCCCAGGTTGTGCTCTGCAGAAACTTGGCTCAGGCGAAGATTCTGAAGCATATAATGATTCACAAACTTAGACAATGATATTGACAAAAAGAAGTGCTTTGAATTTTAAGCAGTGCCAAAAATTAAAATGCATTAGAAAAAGGTGAATTTATTGATTTATTTCACTTCATGCAAGGGACCATATGCAGAATAGTTGCCTTCTGATGAAGACCAGTGAACAACACTAAACTTAGAAAGCATATTCAAGAAACACTAACCCGCAACATTGCCATCAGCATGGCAAGGAGAGCATAAGAACCAATCCCACCAGAATATACCTGCATACTTTACAAGAATCTGAATTAGGCAGACTGAAATCAGAACATTACAAGAAAGATACTTACTTAAGAAAAGGCATACCTCATTTAGTTCTCTTTGCTGCAAAAATACTTTCAAAATCAAACACAAGGGCCTCAGTGGTGGCCACTTGACCACTGCCTCCTACAAATTCAACAGTACAACCATGAACAAGAATACACAATAATGTTCAATCCGACACAGGACACTTACGAATAGCATTTGACAATTTCCATGAAATCCTCCACAAACAGGAGGATGATCTAATATTACTCCCTCCAGTCTTTTTTATAAGACCCAATAACCTAAGACTAAGGAAGTTGGTTAATTTAATAGATAACAACATTAAACTTATCCTAAATTTATATTTTCTTCCAAAATTACCCCTAACATTAATGGAACTCTAATAAATGGTATTTCACCATTTCTTGTCAAAAAATAATTAATGGAAGAGACATTTTAGATTGGTTCTTATAAAAAAGGACCAAGTAACTTTTGATTTGAGCCATATAAAAAAGACTGGAGCGAGTATTTGTTTATTTATCATAGACTGCCCCATTATCAGTTTGGTTAATATAATAAGGTTCATAATATAGCTTAAACCACATATCCATATAAGAATTTCATAAAATCATTTCCTTCCATATCTTATTGATGGTAGAATTTCACAAAAGCCATATTATATACACTTATGTTCAAATTTCCACTCATTTGGTAATGATTCCAATTATGTATTGGTCAAATAATATATTGTGCACTTTACATCAATTAAATTTACACACAACACAAAGTCTCAAATCAAAATTACAAAATATCATGAAACCAAGTGGAGTGGAAAAATAAAACAAACCTGGATATACTCAGCTGCTTTGGGTCCATTGTCTATGTCAAAACTGAAACAAAGCACAATTCCCCAGTGGATCAATGATATTCACAAAAATTTAATACTGAAATAGGTTTTAGTTCTCCTGCATACAATATTTAATACAACAATCCAATATAACTATGTGATAGCCATGCTTCAATCTATAGTAAAAAAACAAAGCAACTATACTCAGAATAATATGGCTATGACTTGTTACAATTAGTAGCAAGTGGTAATAATTTGTTGGTGTGCTATACCTAGTCCTATATGAATTTAGCTACTTCTTTTTAAGAAAAATGGATGCATGAAGAAAAACCTAAAAGGGTCTTCATATTAAGCCGAATCTTGATACATGAGACAGTGATAGATTAATCTACAAGAGGCAAGAATCAAATTCGTATGGCAGGCAGATATTACATAATGATAGACTACACAATACTCCCATTCCACAATACCCAGACAACGAAATGCATCATATCTTCTCTGGTAGTTTTAATTAGTAGTTACTTGATTCAAATATGGAAAATCATATTAAAATTTTAAAAAAATGCATAGACATTCAACTAAAACAACTCATTCAACATCAATACAATATAAAGTCGGTTTAATAAACTAAAACACACTTGCATGACTTTGAATATAATTAAATCATATAAGCATATAAAATCAAGAAGAAAAAAGGGGCAAAATCTAGAAGTTCAAAAAAAAATTAAGATCCAAAATTCACAGGGAGAAAGTAGAACCTTATATCAAATGCAACACCACTCCTCTTTTCAACAAATTTAATAATCGGCACACGAGCCTTTCCAATGACCTACAGAAGACTCACAAGCAAAACACCACACTCAATAATTTGACAACAGCGATTATTTTTTCCTGGCAATGAAAATACATAAGTTTAAGTACAAGGCAGACCTGAATCTTTTTAGCCATGCCCCTTTGTGATAAGGCCTTGGAAATTGCATTCAAGCCCATCTGTGGATTTGGCAAGCCTGCTTTCAAAATCACAACCTGCATTCAATGGTTTTGGCCATAATGCATCAAGCACCCAGATGCACTAGCCCATGAGGAAAATAAACAATTAGCACATCAACTACACTTACATCAATATCACTTGTTGGGAGATACAGCCCTGTCCTGAATGACCCAAACACTTCCACCTGTGAGCAACATAAAAAAACATTATTGAAACATAACTCTCTACAATAAAGGAGTGCAACACAATAACTAAACAAAATTTATACCTGGCAGTGAGGCCATATATGTTTTATAACTCCAAACACAGACTCTACCGCCAAGTCCCGTGAAGCTTTCTCTTCAGCAGTTGGTGACAAAAAATCACAAAAATCCACTATCTCTGCAGAGTAACCATCACCAATCAAATTACAAAACCACCTATATTGCAATAAAACTCCACTCTATTTTGCCCTAACAGGAAAAACTTAGATACAGTTCCTTATGTACTGTTTGTCATGTTCTCCAATTAAAATTGAAATTTACTTCAGTGATCCATGTAATAAAGATATACTGTATACCAAGAAAACTCAATTTTATATAACAATGACGACAAAAAAAATTCAAACTAAGACCTTATGCATATTATTCCAACTAGTACGACCCTAGTGGTTTAACTTAATACTGTGCTTGTTTTATCAGTAGGATTATTCCAACTAGTACCACCCTAGTGGTTTAACTTAATACAGTGCTTATTTTATCAGTAGAAAAGATAACAAGACAGCTGCAAAGTTCAAACCTAAGACCTTGTGGCCTCGCCAATAGTCTCACCCTAGTGGATTAACTTAACACACTACTCAATTTACTGTTCTCTAATTGAAATTCACTTCAGTAATTCGCATAATAAAAGTATGAATTAAAGGGATGCACATATCATCGACTTAAAACTCAAATTTTGATCGGAAAACAACACACAAGTGCACCAAAACGCAATAAACAGTAGTGTACCTTTATGCAGCTGAAGCATGGGGCTCCTGAATTTGCAATTCCCGCGGAACCAGATGCTCTCCAGCTTCGGCTCGAGCGCGAGAGCCGGCATCTTCGGCTCGGGGGTGGCGAGCGGCGGCTCGGGGAGGGAGTCGCGGCCGGAGGCCTCGGCGGCGACGTCGAGGGAGAAGAAATCGACGGCGGTGGAGTTGGCCGAGGCGCATTGGGGCGTGTCGAGGGAAATCTCGTTGCGAAAAACGGAATACGGCTCGTGGTGGTCGGAGACGGGGGAATCGGCGGCGGAGAGAGCGAGGGGACTGAGAGTTTCATAGACGAAGGTTTCGGGAAACTTGTGGTCTTGCTCTTCCTCCATTGAAAACGGTGGAGAATGAAAAATATTATGAGATTGGGATTGAAATTAGGGTTCTATGTAGGGTTTATGGGTGACGCCAAAGGATCCTGGTAACTCTAGGCGCAGCAGTTTTTAGGGTTTCAGAATAATAAAAAAAAAAAAGAAATTTTTCAATTAACTGAAACTCTGAAAATCCTTTTTATATATATAATATATACGAAATTATTTTGCGCAGTTAGGAATATCATAGGCGGTAATTAACTTATTCATTGATAGACGTAAATTTTTAAAATTAGATTTTGTTTAGATATTCGATTATTATAGAAAAATTAGTATTTTAGTTTAGGTCGTATAGATGTATAATGTATAAGATAACTAAAAATTATACTAAATAAATATTTTTTAATATAAAAATTATATATAGTTATAGTTTAATTAAAATTTTTATGACTGAATATATTTTAAATTTATGATAAAAATTTTGTATTATAATATAAGATTACTGTATTTATTGATAATTTTTAAAATATTAAAATTTAATTTAGAAAGACATAAATAATATATTAAAAGAGATAAGAGATAAAAAATAACTTTAAAAATATCTTTATTAAAAAATGATCTTTAAAAATATTTTTATTCAAGAAAATTAGTGATTGAGCAGATACTAAAGTGGAAAGACATACAGGAAAAAAAAAAGGAAAGAGAAGAGGAGAGAAAAAGAAAGAGAAAGTGAAGATAATTAAGTAAAAAATAAAATGGAAATTGAAATTGTTTGGATAAATTTTTTAATTAATTTATTAGATTAAATAAAAAATCATTATGATATTATAAATTAAATTACATTCCTTATTTTTATTATTTTGTTTCACATTTTTTTTATATAAATTAAGTCTGCATGAAAAAATAATAAAACAGTTTCAAATACAACTAAAATAATAAATCAAAATTTTCAAACATAAAATAAAAAATAAATCTGAAAAATTGATAAATAAAAAAAAGTATAAATTTAAAACTATATGGAAGGAAAAAAATTGAAAATTAAAAGAAAGTGGAAACTAAAACAAAAATGGCACAAACCACATTCACAGTCATTGCTGCATAGTTAAACTTACTTTTCAAAACTTCACAGTTCTCACCTTCTGATCCTAACATTTTTGTTTTACAATTTATATGCATTTCACCTCAGTCAAGAGTTATTTCAGTGGATTCCACTTTAGTTATTACTATTTTTTCTCAATTTTTTTGTTAAATATTTTATCATCTTTTATTATTACACACTTCTTTTCCTTCCCTCTTACTTTCCTCTTACCAAATATAGAGTAAATATTTAAAAGATAGATTAGTTTTTTTTTTTTAATAAGAAATATTTATTGATATTTTATTTATAAAAACTAGTAGTATAAAGTCATTTTGTGTCTTTGTTAAAAAATTAAATAAATAAATAATTATTATTAATAGAGTAGATAATTAATTTTTTATTTTATCTTTAAGAGACTAAAATACAATAAAGGGATATAAATGTTAAAAAAATAGACCAAAGATATCCTTATTATATATGACAATGATGTTGAGATCTTGTTTCTATATATCTATTTTACTTAAATAAAAGATAAAGTATAAAATAGTCAAAATAGAAGATAAATGATAAACAATTAAAGGTATAAAAATAAAATATTAAAATAAAAAAATGATCACTTGTCATTATAGGGAGAAAAAATCTTGTTTGGTTTACGATGAAACATACTGGTGAATAAAAACTTAAATTTAAGTTAATTAAGGTCGCTTTAAATTTAAATAAAACAAAAGTAATTAGATGAGATAATTAGGATATTAAGGAATAAAATTAATTAAAAAGTGAAAATCAAAATTTTATATCTATTTATATATTGTTATAGAATATGTTATAAATTATATATTATGTGTTTTTTATTCTTACCACTTGACTAAAATTATATTATTTTCCTAAAAAATAAAAATTAAATGAAAATTGAAATTAAAATGATATGGTTTTAAGAAAGCACATTTTCAATTTAAATGATATTTATCCGTATAATAGTTAATTTTACTATCGATATTTTTCTTTTATATATATATATATATGGGCATCGAATTTAATATAAGCGTTTACAATATTTTTTGTTAGACTTGTTTGTATTTTTAAGTATTGTCAAATAGTACTATTACTATTTACTTGATTGTACACGTTTGAAAAACAATTTAAAAAGTAATTTTTATTTTAAAATTTTAATTAAAAAATCTTTATTTCTTAAAAATAAGGTAAAGAGATGGATGTTACTTGTTCTCAAGTGTAACCTCTTTTATTTATTTTTCTTAATTTCTCCTACTTGGTAGGGGTGTAAAAACATGTTGACATGGCAAACTTAACTTAGTTTCCTCTCAATATATAAGAAAAAAATAGATTGAATTGAATTAAATTCGTTTTATTATGGTGTTAATTATAATTTTTAATTTAACCTAATTTTAGTGAGTTGAGTTGACTTAAATGTTATAATATTGATAAATAAACATTTATATAATATAGTTTTCTATTATTATTTTTTTGTCATTTCGAAAAATTTAACTCTTATATTGTAAATTATGTTTATTTACATTTCTTTATTATTTATGTACAATTTAGCCATATTAATATTTTAACTTGTGTAATCCATATATATATGTTTATTATATAATTAAAATTTATAATAAATTATATAGATAAATATTATATTTAAATATATAAATTATATTTAAATTTATACAAATAAATATTTTTAAATATGTAAATTATATTTTATATTTATAATAAATAATATAATTAGATAAGGAATTAAAAATATATATCTACAAACCTTCTCATCGAAAATAAAGTTATAAAAATATTCTCACATGAAATAGTCGTTGATGTTTAATATATAGGTTTTACATTAATATACCAGCATTTTAGATTTTTAAAATATCTGGTATCAATGTACCCGTATTTGTAACTAATATCGGTATCCATGCGACATAGTGTGTCAATGTGTCGTTTCTCTAGCTACCAGCTGCATGCATGTAATGCAACTAACAACATTTAGCAACTTAATTAAGGTTTTGATGATTAGGATTACCACACGTATCTTACTAAGTCTGCCAACTTTTTTCCCTTCACTAACTAATATTCTGTTATACAAATTTTGTTAAAGATAAAGCACAAAACTGCATAATTAGAACGCATAACCCATGCATTCTAGATACGTAACAGTTCATTCGCACACATATAAAACCTTGTGCAAATCATTCTCATTGTCACACTCGAGGTTCATCAATCACATATTCACCAAAACATACACAAAACCATGGCCGAGTTCACAGAATTGTTCCCCGTGGACCAAAATCTCGATGGTTTGATGCACATGTATGTGTATGTCATCACTTTCGATCTTCCAACTCTACTCATCGTTTTCACCATACTCACGTTGTTATTCTTCATCTTGTATCAAATTCTCAATGGCTTGTTCTTCTGGTTGATAGAAATGAGGCCAATTGAACATGATCTTGAAGAGGGTGTTACTCGTGATGAGGTTACCATCTTTCATGCAATTTTTAACGAGAAAAGAGGACAAAGGCTTAGAGCATGCAAGAAGTTGCCTCCATTGGTGAATTATGGAATGCATGGTGTGACAAGAAGTTGTGGAGAATGTGCCATTTGCTTGGAAGAATTCCAAGTTGGTCAATTCTGTCAAGTTTTTCCTCTTTGCAAGCACATTTTTCATTCAGATTGCATAGACCACTGGCTGCAAAAGAAATTAACCTGCCCAATATGTCGTAGTTGTATATAGATCATTTGTAATTATGATTCAGAATTGTATATAAATTAAGTTGAATATATTTAGTGTTGGTATTAAAGTTTAATGCGTTTTTCGTTAATATTAAAATAATGTTCGATCACTTAAAGTTATGTTTCGTTAATATTATTATTTGTATCATAGAAGAAAAAAAAATGTGGCATGATGCATTCTCCCATTTAGCAAATTTAGAGAATATATATAGTTTCATGTTTACGAGTTAAAAAGGTTAAGATTAAAATGTTTTATAATACTCATGTGGGTACGTAGGGTTTTGTTTTTGTTAAGTTTAACCATGGCCAACGAATTCAATGGTTCGTTATTAAGACCGATGAAGTCATAAGCTTCTCTTAGAAAATATTCCTTCCACGAAAAAATCGGTATGAATTATTGATATCCCAGCTAAATTTTTTTTTACCTTTATTTATTTTTAGAATTTAATTTCGTCATTGTTCATGTTGATCTTCTAATTTATAAAAATGTTTAATGTTACTTTTTCGTATAAATCATCACTAATAATGTTAATCAAATCTGACAAAAGGATAATATATTTAGCATTTTTTTAAAAATTAGAAACTAAAATAAATATTTTAAAAATAGAATGGTCAAATTGAATAATAATTAATAAAATAGATGAAAAAAAAATATAAATAGGTAAAATAAAAAATAAATTAATCTGAACAAAAAAAAATTAAATAAATTATTATTTAATTTAGTCTCTCTATTTTTTAATAATCAATTTATTCCAACTTTTTTTAAAAAAATCAATTTGATATTCTAATTTTTAAAAAGTTTAATGTGTAAGATATGATTGATTTCCTTCTTCTCTTTTCTTCATTCTATTTCATTTTCTCTTAAACTCTTCCTTCCTTACTATTTCCAAAGGTTGATCACTAGAAAGGTGAGAGTTCAAGCTCCAGGGTTGGGAGCTTCGAGTAGTGGTGTGCAGGGGTCAACTTCTTCGTTCTTCTCTTTTTCTTCCTCGGAGAGCTCAGGATTGAGGAAAGAGAAGCTAGAATCTTGGATTTTGTTGATTTGTTGGGTTACTGATTGAGTTGAAACTTAATATTAGTTGGATTTCTGAAAATTTGAGCTTTGGGGGTGGATTCGAAGTGATTTGCATGTTGAAAACTGAGGTTCTTGTTTCTTGATGGAAGGTTGAATGTTGATGATTTTTTTTGAGCTTTGATGCATGCATGCTGTATTTCTTGTGTTTTTTGGACAGTATGAACAAATTGAGTAGAGATTTTGAGTGTAGATCATGTTTAGGAAAAAAAATGGGTGAAGTGTAGGTGAAAAACAAAGGTGAGAAACCGTAAAAGTGTAG